CTTGGAGGAACGCTTCTGCGCCCAAAGCTGCCGAAGTTTAGGGCTGGGCTGACCATTAAACTCTGACGGACGCTCTGGTGGTGTCTGCAGCATCGCTCTGTGCTTCGGTGTCCGGTTTGGGGGGTGGCTCCTTGGGTGCCTTCCATCCTGACCGAGCTACAGGCGGGTGGTCCCTCTGTCAGCAGCCCTCCCTCCTTCCCTCCATCCCAGGTTGCAGTCAGGTGCGTGGCTGCAGCTCTGGTAGCGTACCCAAACTTGCTTTAATCACCTGTCCTGGGAGGCAGTATCGGAGAAGGCAGTGAGATACCAGCACGGTTTCCCTGGGGAACCCAGGTACGTGTTTCTCAGGTAGCTGCCAGAGAAGCCGTGCCGCTGCCTGTGCCCTGCCTAGCCCAGTGCAGCCTGCCAGTAACCCCTGATACCAAGCAGACCCTCCACGTCTTCCCAGTAAGGACTGGGTTACCCCTAAAGCAAAGACACACATGGCAAAGAAAAATCTGGCAAAAAGAAGCGAGGTGCGCCAGAAACCCAGGCTAAGTGCTCCTCTGCAGAGTTAGATGTTAAAACTGGTCTTAGCAAAAGCTGGTCCCTGAAGGCATCTCATAGCGTGATGGCCAGATTCCTCTCCTCATGTGACCCCAAAAGGCCTATCTCACTATTTGGGAGGTGGCAGCACCCCATGGAATGTGCTGGGAAGAGGTGGGCAAAACAAGAGGTGGATGTATTCACCTTTTTTATTGGGACACCACTCCCAAACCCAAGGTTTTGTGGGGGCAGAGGGACTTTGCTCACCTGTGAACCAGGGCAAACAGCAGCCTTGTGCCAACTGGGAACGAACGGGGTGAATCCAAGAGTGGGTTGAGAGAAACTGTGAGTGGAAAGTTAAACATGAGGGGTATCTGACGTGTTGTTTTGATAGTGATACTGGGAGGAACAGCAAATGCAAGTCATCGCTTTTCATTAGATGGAGTAAATTTCCAGGAGGAGACATTGGGTGGGTGCGGTGGAGGTCATTTGCTGAGAAAGTCACAAGTTGCCTGTGTCGCTTTATGTGGCAGATCAGACATGGGAGCGAGAGGAGTTATTGTTGCCACCACCTCCACCTTGGGCCCTGACAAATTGTGCTGGTTAGTGTAATTTTTGAGTTTGCCCTTCAAACATGAGAGAAAAGGATGATTAAAGGACAAAAGACATCCATGCATATTTGAACACTTGGGTACCTCAGGACTGTGTCTTCTGTGGCAGTAGCCATGGTAAAACGGTAACACAAGGATTTATTTTTGATGATGGTCTGCATCCATGTCAGATTTCTTTGAGATAATTTAAGGAACATTTGTCTAGTATTAGCATAATAACCAAAGGTCACTGGGAAAGTCTGCATTTCATGTTCATTAGTCTTCTAAATTAGTTTTAGTAAAATGCCTAAAACCATACAAAAAGGATTAATAAGTTAGTCTAATAAAGCCATTAGTACAGATATATTCACTCATAGCAGAAAATTCTGAGGTTTTCCCTAAATGATTTCTTCTGAGTAGCGTTTGATTTGGGGGCTGAATCAGAAGTTTTGCTGTTTTCATAAAAGGAGATGACTCTCTGCCTTTGGACATCAACGCTGGAGATTGTTGTGCTTTGCTACAACAAGGAAGGAACCTTGCTGGCAAAGCCTTACCCTAGAGTCCGTCTCCCTGACCACCGTGCCCTGGCTCAGGTGACAACTGCTCTGGCACAGCTCTGATGTGTTTTGCCCCTGAAGTTCATGCAGGAGGGCAGGGCAGAGCCTGCAGCAGCAGCATGCTGCTCTTCCCCGCTGCCTGTGGACACAGGGTTTTGCTTTGCAAGCATAGCAGGACTCTGTCTCTGGTGGTTTGGGCCCATCTGCATTTCCAGCTGACGATCTGGCCACGTGAACAGCGTGCTCTCCTTCCGCGCCACGGGCTGTAGTGCGTTTGCAGGTGAGGCTTGGAGCATCCCCCCAGGAGCGCAGAACACGTGAGCACTGATCCATCGAGACTGCACAAATGAGAGCTGGTGCTCATTACAAAGGTCTCCTCCCTTTTCTGAGAGCTCAGGAGTGCCACTGAGATTCTCCTTTGAAAATTGTCAGTGTGGTTGGAGTTGTGGTGGGCAGCAGGGCCCACACTCAGCAACCCTACCCACTAAGCATGCTTGTCCTGCTCAGGGGACCAGAGTCGAGAGCCAGGTTGCATTTCACTGGGGTGAATGGTACAGCAAATATTTTTCCTGTGGAGTAGTGGACCTTAACTGGCATCACATTATGCCTTTGATTTATTTATTTATTTTTAAATAGACCCTTCCACAGTATTTTATGTGTGCTGCATTGGTGGGGCAATATTGGCTTGAGTCAATAAGATTAGTTTGGTCATGGTCAATAAACACAACAGGCACAACCCAGCGTGTAAAGTTTTAATGTGCTCTCCTAATGCCTGCTCTTCATTTTCAGCTTGCTGAACTCTAACTCCTTCACTGTTATACGAGATGATGCCTTTGCTGGTCTTTTCCATCTAGAATACCTGTAAGTTTGGTATTTTATGTCTTCCCCTGTCCTTTATAAATCAAGATGTTTTGATCAGTTGCCAAGACTCCTCCCGTGGAGTCAGTCTTTACTGTGATTCCCAGGAGCAGAGGAGATCAAGGATTTATGTTCCACTCCTGTGCAAATGTCCTTTGCGATGGTTCATTGTTTTTCAGAGGCTGCAGTGGGTTTTTAAAATATGCTGTGAGTGCAAGGTGGCTCTGTGCAATTACGGTACACCAAAAAAGCATTGCTGACCAAGAGCTTATCCTGGCTTTCCAGACCAGTGCCCTCACTGTTGACGGGCTTTGAACCTCAGGACAGAGGTGGGGAAGGCTCTCCTGGCCCCCTGGCAGCCTGAAGAGGAGGTGCAGAGTAGCCGGGTACTGCCCAGAACAACCCTCTTTACTAGACTGCTTCTCTTCCCCTAAACTTTCCTTTCTAACTTTGTCTTTGTTCTGATATCCCACTTAATGCCTGTGGCATTTATCTTCATATTATAGTTATAATATGAATATATAAATATAATTCATATAAATTATTGTACTTACCTATATTATTTTATAAGTTTATTTAACTCTCCTTTTCTTTACTTAGTTCAGTTCTTTGTTGATTTTTACATTACCTTCATTTCCCGATTTTTTTTTTTATTTTTTTTTTAGGTCGCCTTTTTTTCTTAAAAAAAAAAAAAAAAGTATTAGCCCTGGTACCAGGTTGTCCTCACTTCATACTCCAAAGGACTGCCATTTCTCTTGTTACTGGACATGAGCTGGTATGTTTGAAATCTGAATATGATCTGAAAAAAAGTCATCTTTCCACCCACGTTCCCATGCTGAAAGATAGCTGTGGAAAACATTTATGTTTTTTTTCTCTCAAAGAAGAGCAATGCTCACGAAACTGATTCTTGCGAAGTCTTTCAGGCAAGTCAGTATTAAGGTGCAGTGTGCTCAGAACTAATAGTTTGCGAAGCGGCCAACGATGGAATTTGCAGACCAAGAAATAGAGGTTGATGGTAAATGGTCTATGCCAAAATCCACGATTTGGCTACATCTGGATTTTTCAGTAATAAGGAGTTGTCTCATCATTCTCTTTTCTGTGTGTCTGCAGGAAAAACAAAGTAATTTGCAGAATGTTTGCAAAAAGGAAGGAAAACATTTATGTGTTGTTTCATTAATGATTTGTTTTCCAATGTTGATGATCCTAATGTGGAGCTTGTCCCAGCAGCTTATGAAGTTATAGTGGTTGCATTGGTAAATACAGCTAGACCCCCCGTCTGAAAGGAAACAGTTCTGCCCCTCCCCATCTGGCCAGAGTTAAAAATCTCTGTCCCTGGTTGCCAGCTGCAAACCAGGGGGCAGATTACAGTTTCAATTTCGATTTCCTTTAGCAGCTGAACAAGTGGTCTTGGCTAAAGGTTGTGGTCGCCTTCCCTGCCAAGCCCACATTGCTCTTCCTCTTCCCAGCAAATCACACCTCTGCCGTTTGGGGACTGGGCACGAGTGGCCTTTCACTAGGGTTGTTTTTGGCCATGCAGCTGCTAACACCATTACAGCTTCAGTAACTCATGTCTCTCAGTTACCAGTGATCAGATCTTACGGCGGATGAGAAGACCCTGCTGATCAAACAAGAATGGCAAGTTTCTTTGTGTACAAAGCAAAGTCTCTGGATGAAGAGCAGCTGGGGAGCACACACAGCAGATACATGTATATGTGTGTGTGTATATATATATACATCTCCAGCTGTGTCCTGCTGTGCTTGAAGCACCAATAGCCAGCTAAACTAACTGGCTCCATCTACAGTCAGGTCTGATAAAGGTGGGAGCTTTGCTGGCGATCAGCTGTTCCCAAGGTAGGCCCCCTTTGAGGCCAGGTTTGGTAAATCTGGTAAATTACTGAGTCCCAGCCCAAATGTCCATCATCCTGCTGCAGTGTCTTCGGTGCAGCTGTGTGTGCTTGCACAGACCGGTGAGCTGGCGCTGTGCGGTGATGCAAGATGCCAGTGAGGGTTTCAGGAGGCAGTTTGGCTCTCTGCTTTGCGGATTGAATTCGTGTCCCCAGGCACCCTTGTAACAGAGTACAGCTGACCCTCTTCTGACATCTCCCACGCAGACATAACGGCTTCTCATTAGCACCCTTTGCCTGCAGTCAGGGTTATGGTCGCTTCATGAAGGATTTTGGCTGTGCCTCAACTGCAGAACCAAGAGCACTTATCTCCTGCATCCCCATCTTGAGTCATTTGAGAAGAGACCTTAGCTCATAGCATTTTTTCTTCTATTTCCCTGGAAGGCAAACAAGGACGCATAGGAGGAAGGGAGACACTCTTTATCTCATCAAACCTTTTACAGAGTCAGCATGCAGTTGTCTTCATCCAGGTACAGCTGTACCACACAGTATCTTGATGGCCACCTGGCTGCAGTCACTTTGCAGGGCTGATGGTGCATTTAGGGATATGTCCTCAAGCGCTTGGTGGGTCAAGATTCTCAAATATCAGCTCTTTCTTTAAATGCTGATGAGCAGTCAGGAGGAGCAGCACACCCCTGGAATCAATACATGCCTGTCATCCTTCGGATGTGACATCCCAGCTGGGGAGAGGCTGAACTGTGGCAGCAAGAAGGAAAACAAGGGAGATGGATCTCGCCATTCATGGAGAGCTCAGTTCCGTACCAGTCTGTCTGTCTGTCTGGGCATGCAGAGGTTGCACCGTGTGTGCAGCCACAGGAGCTCCCCATCAGAGCATCCATCTGCTGCCTGGGTAGCCCCCTGGTTTCAAAATGCAGGTGAGTCTGAGAGGGAGGTAGGACCTGAGCTGCTGAAGTCCATCTCAGAGGCCTCATCTATGCAAGTCTCTTGCCTCGTGTAACACACCCCGAAAGGATTAGCCAGCAGATGAGTAATGTTTTTTGCTTTGGTTGTTTTGTTCCACTTCTGATGGATGTTTGTGTCAGCCACTCTCCCTGGCCTCCTGGCACCTGCGTTGCTCCTCGCGGTCTATCTGAGGAAAGGGGAAAAGGGAGTCTGAGCAGCTTCACCGAGAGTTCCCCACCTTTGAGTCTGAAGGGGCGACCCAGGAACCTGCTGGATTTGGAGGATATAGGTTAAAGCGCTGGTGATACTAATAATACTGCTAATTGCAGTTTTTTTGAAATATTTATTCTTTTGCCTAGATTCATTGAAGGAAACAAAATTGAAACCATTTCAAGAAATGCATTTCGTGGCCTTCGAGACCTGACTCACCTGTAAGTTATTTAACACTCGGTAAAGTAATTTGTACTTGAACAAAACTCTGTTGGTGGACCACTGGTTTTCCTGCCTCACAGAAAACCTCTCTCCCCTACATGTGTCATCTTCTTCCTGCTGTCAGTAACATGCCTTCCACAAATTAAAAAATTATCTTAAAAAACCTCCTCCTTGGGCAGCACTGTACTGTGTTTGGCTGCCTGAGCACGCGCGCAGCTTGTGCTGGGGCACGGCTGTGACCCCCTGCAGCAGTGCCACCGTCACTTACCTGCTCGTGGTTAACACTCCAGTTTCTTTTCAATGTGCTCAGTAATTGCTCTGTGTGTTACATTTGCGACAGAAAAGCTTTATGTATTTTACTTTTACATGAGCTTCAAGCAATCTCCATTCTTGAATGAGAATAATTAATGTGTGCCTGTTCCTTGTAACTATGAACAATGCCAGTGGCTGGACAGTGCTGGGTAATTAACAACCTGTGAGTGAGCTCAGACTTAACAAGAGTCAGCCAGATGAGAGAGAGCAATAATACTAAGCTCTAACTTTCTTTTCTAGTTCTCTGGCCAATAACCATCTCAAAACTCTGCCAAGGGATGTCTTCAACGATTTAGATTCTTTAATTGAACTGTAAGTAATGAGAGTCTTCCTACTGCCTGCCTGCTTCTGTCACTCTGTTACTCTGAGTTTTACGTTCTGTGTTTGTGTGGTGCTGTACCTGATAACTGCACAGAAAAGATGTGTATTTTGTTGTACTAGCTTTTCTCACTTTAAAATTGTTTTCTTGGTAGACACCTCAAAAATAACTGCTATTTCTCAAATCACCGTTGCTTCTCGTGATGCTATACATAGCTTGCATTATTACAGTTCTTTCAGATGTTTGATATAAATTGGGGGTTTTTAGAACAAGAGAGACAATGAATTTTAAAACTACAATTTCTCTGAACATTTTTTCCTACTATTGTTGAATATATTCCCTGAAGTTATTTTAGTAAAAGGCATTCATTAAAAAAATGCAAAGATTTTTTTTTTCTTGGTTTTGTGCAGTTGTATCACATTGCTGACTTATTGTCAGTGTTCTCTTGTGTAAATGAGCTGCTAGTCAGCTTCCACCATTTTTGGCCTGGCTCTCCTAAACAGTAAAGTATAATCGTAAGCCACAAAAATTGCCAAAGGATCGAAGAATGGGTACAATGTTGAAATTACACACACATTAGTAGGGGAGGGTTAAACTGACTCCACATCAGCAGTGACTATAAAAATACAAGCCTTACATCTGTATTTTAATGTAACACAGAAATGGTACCAGCAAGGCCACTCTGTCAACCAGTGGTACTGGAGTAGTTTAGTGGAAGAATGGGATTTAGTTGTGTCAGTGGTAGGTGGAGGCTTGCAGCAGATGGCCAGATCTGTCAGGATTTATTTTGTTACGGTCTTAAGCCTATGAAAACTTATAAACACGAGTGACTTTACATGTGAATCACAGTGCTCTGTTACTACGTGAGCCTATTTTGTGGACTGAAACAGGACAACGCTCAGTGAAAGGGAAGTCCATAGTAAGAGAGTCCAAATAAAACTTAAACTTCTCTGTTCTCAGTTCAAAAACAATTCAAGACTGCTCAGGTATTTTTAAATTCAGCATGTCAAGGTGATAACAGTTCTGTAGTATTCATAATGCTATCAACCTTTTCAAATATGTTTATTTCTGTGTGTTTTTTTAGAGATTTAAGGGGAAATAAATTTGAGTGTGACTGCAAAGCCAAGTGGTTGTTTTTGTGGTTAAAGATGACAAATTCCACTGTTTCTGATGTCCTGTGTATTGGTCCAGCAGAATATCAGGATAAGAAGTTAAATGATGTGACAAGTTTTGATTATGAATGCACCACTACAGGTATTCAGAATGTATATTTCTAAGTGCACTACAAATGGTTAAATATCAGAAGTTTAGACTATACCCTTTCACTTCTGTGAGCATGACATGGGGGGAGGAAAGGGTTACATACAAAGCACTTCGGAGTACTAGAACAAGCATAAAATGGGAAAATTACATTTTGAAGCCAGAGTAAGTACCGAGTTTTTATTTGTATTAAGTGATAATGGGTGAAAAGCTCTGAGTATTCATATTCCAAAAGACTTGATTATGACTCACTTTGTGACTTAATTTTCATCACAGAATGCTTTCTATTATCTGGAATAAGGCCATATAGTTATGGCAGATGAGCTTCCCAAAATCTCTGTGTTTCACAGAAAGCAATGAAAAGAAGTTCAAATAATGTGGCTATATCTGTTATCTTTATTCAATAGGCCATAATTTAATAGCATCAAATGTGGCAGCAATACTGCCAGCAGTGCTTCATGGAGCTCCATTAAGTTGGAGAGAAATGTCCAATAATATTCTGACTACTGTCTTGTTTAGGATCTTGATTTTTATTTTAGGTAATCTAAAGCATGCTGAAGGAAGTGAAGAGAAACTTGCATGTGGTTATGCTTATATTTTATGACTGAACAGCTGCAGTTACCTATCCTGAAATGTAGTCACATCGTATAACTGAGAATATCAGCTGCGAGTAGTGTTTTTCTGTATGTGATGTCAGAACTCTACCTTTTTCTATAGGGTAATATCAGAGGCATTTGACCTCTCATCTGTCATCAAAGCAGTCATCACCATTAAGAGACAATAGAAAAGCTGATTACTATTAATGTAAAATACAGTTTCAGGATAAGGTATGAAAGGTAATCAAAGGGCAGTATGTAACGGGAAAGAGAATGAACTGGGAATTCAAAAATATGTCAGAAGAGCAGCAGAGATAAAGCATGATTACCTGTCTACATAAAAGGATGTCAAAAACAGGAGGACAATGCAGCTTAGAATGGTACCAAAGTCACACTCCTGTGTCTGCCAAATCACGGAGATGCAGAAGTGCAAAGTAAAAGCAGGCTTTATTTCATCTCAATCTGATATAAGCAATAGTGCAGCACTAACTGTGAGAGAACAAGCCTTTTTCTACCTGCTCCTCAGACCCATATTGACCTGCCTGCCCTCTGTTGTCTCTTTGTACCTTGAAAGCTAACTATAAATTTGCTACAGGCAAAATTCACCGTTAATGTTAGTCCCTTTGTCCACTGTAAGCGAAGTGACACCAAGCAGAAATCGGATTTCATGTCCCGTGGAGTTGGCTGTGAAGCCAAAGCGTTATGTGGTGCAAGCATTGCCCAGCTCAGTCACAGAATCAATCATAGAATGTTGGGAGTTGGAAGGGACCTCTAGAGATCATCTAGTCCAACAGCCCCTGCAAGGCAGGATGCCCTGGGGCAGGGCACACAGGAACGTGTCCAGGCAGGTTTTGAAAGTCTCCAGAGAAGGAGACTCCACAACCTCTCTGGGCAGCCTGTGCCAGTGCTCTGTCACTCTCACAGTAAAGAAGTTTCTCCTCATGTTGAGGTGGAACTTCCTGTGTTGTAACTGTTTGTTCAAATGCCATCAGGAGAAGTGCTCTTGCAGCACAGCATGCAGCTGTAATACACTCTTCAGATAGCGAAGGATGTTTTCAGACCAGTTGTTCTCTGGCTGTTTTGGGGAAAGGCTGTCTGCCTAACCTCCCTGCCCTGGGGGTAGGCAGCAGCAGGCTTCCCAGATCTCCAGTGCATAGTGAAGGTGGAGGATGAAGAAGGTGTGAAGCTCTGGTGTCCTTACAAAGCATCCAAGAGGGACAGACTGGATGCAGAAATGATCCGTAAGAAAAAAGCGGAGATAAGCAGAGAAGAAATGCAAATCTTCAGGAATGTGTCAACCCTGAGACAGCAGCATGTCCCCTGCACTGAATTGCAAGCTGCCTTGCTGATGCTGTAACCCTCTGGTGGCTTTGGTGGTCTGTGGCGTCAGGCCACAGCCACTTTTAATGCCTCTCCCATTGCCTCCTTCAGATCCAAAGGGAGTTTAAATATGCCTTGTATTCCCTCCTTGAGGACGGATTATTTGCAGGCTCAGGCTTGTATCATATTCGGAATTAAAGCTACATACTATATAGATGTGTTCTCCTCTCCCACTCAGTGACAGGGCAATGCCCTATAAACCTCTTTCATTCATGTTAGTCTCGAATTTCCCTCTTTTGCCAGGCGCAATCAGACTCCCTGTCATTTCTGGTCTCTGGTACTCTGTGTCAGGCATGACTGGATGTAGGATGTGGTAACAAAGCAGTTTGCCTGGTAAAACATGCATCTTGTTGACTCCATCAATTCATTGCATCCACTGAACTGCTACAATGGTAACAGGAGGAGAGGTGGAAAGGGGTGCTGCCAAATAAATAAAAAAAAATAAATAAAAAACAAAACAAAGAACAAAATGGTCATAATTGCTTCTTCACAGAGAAAGTGATTCACAGTGTTGGTGATCTATATTTTTAACTCTTTTTGTGATAGCATCTCTCTCTCCCATTTCTCACATCTTGTATTATGGAAGCAAGTCAAGCCATTTCACTTCACTTCTTGTTTTTCTTGCTCAACAGCATGTGAGAGTCTGTGCTGTGGCTGTAAGCATGGCAGGGGAATGTGTAACTTCCTCTCAGGAGACTGGAAAATGTGCCTCGTACTGCCACTGTCACTGAAAACAGGCTGTCTGGGTGCCTGGGACCTGCTCTGTCCATACCTGCAGACAGGGATCACCTCACCAAGCTTTGGAAGCTTGGTTTCCTTTCTCTTGCTGGATTTGTCTTCCTTTAGCTGGTGGTCCTCGCTTTCCCCACTAGCTGGAAGGAAGATAGTTTGCAAATGAAGAATTATCTGCTCCATACTCACTCCTGTGCTGGAGATCTCCTGTACCACCATGGTGGGAGGCAGGAAGGGATGGCAGATGCTCCCTGATTGCACCCCCATGCCCCAGGTAGCCTCACCCAGAGTAGAAGTTCCCAATGTGGGGAAGTAGGGATGTGAGAAGAAGGGGCCTGAGTCTCAGGATGCAGTTTAGGAGCTGCTGGCGGAACAGACCATTGCTCAGCTTTCTCTTTGGTGTCCTTCAGCGTTCCCCATGCACCCTCCCGCTGCTCTGCCCGCGTCAGCACTCCCGTGTGCTGGGACCAGCCAGAGCAGGGGCTGCCAGAGCCCTGCAGCGACAGAAGCATTGGGTCATAGAATCATAGAATCATCAAGGTTGGAAAGGACCTTCAAGATCGTCAAGTCCAACCTACAGCCCTACATCACCCTAACACTAAACCATCTGAAGTGCCACATCCGACCATTTTTTAAACACGTCCAGGGATGATGACTCCACCACCTCCTTTGGCAACCCATTCCAGTGCTTCACCAACCTTTCGGTGAAGAAGTTTTTCTTAATATCCGATCTAAACTTCCCCTGGTGCAACTTGAACTCATTCCCTCTTGTCCTGTCGCTATTCACTAGGGAGAAGAGGCCAACACCCATCTCACTACAGCTGCCTTTCAGGTAGTTGTAGAGAGTGAGAAGGTCTCCCCTCAGCCTCCTCTTCTCCGGGCTGAACAGCCCCAGCTCCCTAAGCTTCATAAGACTTACCCTCTAGTCCCCTAATCACTCTGGTTGCCCTTCTCTGTATCTTCTCCAGCACCTTGATGTCCTTCCTGTGCTGTGGAGCCCAGAACTGCACACAGCACTCGAGGTGAGGCCTCAGCAGTGCCCAGTACAGGGGCACAATCACTTCATCCGTGATGGCTCATGACAGTTCAAAGAAAGCAATGTTAAAACCACAGGTGAAACTTCATGTCGGGGCGAGAGGGAGAGAGCGACAGCCCATGCAGCAAACAGCAAGGAGCGAAGTGGGGGCTGTGTCCACTTCCCTCTCCCATGCAGGCTGATCCAGCTTTAAAGAGGAAAATGGTTGGGAAGCAGCCACTACCCATATATTTGCCGTGTGAGCTCTTTCTAGCATTAAAGCAAGGCAAGTGGACCTGCTTGTAAAACTAAACAGCCCCCAAGACCTAAATTTTTTACAAGCCTGGTGTGGCAGCATCTCTTCACTGTGTTAACTCTGTTCCGCAGTAGAGTCCAATATTTCCAGACATTGCTAAAAATTAATGTTTATTGCTTTTTACTGATTAAAACTGATTTTGTTACCCATTTTTACTCATCCAGAGACATAAAGAGCCCAATGACAGGTACAAGTGAAAATAGCTGTGTTAACACTGAATCATTTTTGAATGAGCAGTGGGTTTTAATACGCAGGCTGATTTGTTTTAATTCACAGATTCCCTCAAAGTGTCTCACAACTGTCCAAATTTCAAGAGATGTCTTTTTCAGTATTAGTTTTTTTGTTTTTTTTCTCAAGATTTTAAAAATTGTTTTGATTTTCTATGACTGTATCTGCCATTGTTTCATCTTTAGCTACCTTTCATGATTTATCACTTACTTTTCACAGTTCGTTGTCAGTTTTATCCAGACCTTTATTTTCTTGGTGATAATGAAGATAACCTTCTTGCTTTCCTACCAGCATTTATGAATCAAGCCCAAACTCTATTTATAATAGTCCCTCGAAGAATGGAGACTGTAATTTCTTTTGCAGCTGTAGAATCTGCTCTGTTTGTTTAATGGTAGTCATCTATCTTTATTCTCCAGAAGTATAACTCTTCAAGGGCAAGGCTTTCAAGCATGCAGAGGCAGAGAGTTCTTCATTCAAAACCAATTATTTCATAATGCACCAAAATGAGAGACTTGAGTGAGGACTTAATTACCATTTCACCAAAATCCCTGGGTGCTCAGACCCTTCTAGCATAGGAGTGCAGGGTGAAGGCGTGTAGCAAATGGAGCTTGAAGCAGAGCGATGCGTGGTTCTGCAGAGAAATGCCATCGTAGCAAAAGATGCATTTCCTTTTCTCTATATCTATATCTATACATGGCTTCAGCGCAGGCCTTCTGCCACAGCTGAGACCCAAGTGCCAGCTTTTCTTTTTCAGCTCTGCTATACCGGTTTCTTTTTCTGATAATAATGACCTTGCCCAGCGGTCAAGCCAAAGATCAGTTTCAGCCCCAGAGTGGGCCTGTGCTGACTGCTGACAGCCCAGGGGGAATTTTAGAGTTAAATCTACAAAAGGCACTGAGATTTTGAGGAAAAATCTTGAATTTTGGAGTTGTGCTCCTAGACTTTACAAGTTGCTCTGACTACTCCATCTTAGTGACTAGAATAAGTTTTCCACTGGAGAGTAATTTGCAGGTTGGTTGTATTTTATGCCTAAACTACTTTACAATGCCCCATAAAACATTATGTTAACTGAGTTTTTGATTACACTATATTGTCTATGGTCTAGCCCAAATGGGGTTATCCCCAGGCAAACCTCAGATATCGTTTCCTTTTCTGCCTGGTTTAACATAACACAAATTGCTAGTGATTAAATTTGCATGACTTAAGAAGCTATTGGACTTCAGCTGGAAGTTGCTGTCTCTCAGCTTGAAAGTGATTCTAGCAAGGCCATTTCACTTGTCAGGAAAGCAACTTCCAGCTGTGGGGAAAGAGACTTCTCTCTCAATATCCAGATCTCATTGATACCAGCCAGCCTAGCTGGAAAATCTGATTTCTGCCACTATTTACCCATTTGACCCTTTTGGCAACTGTATTTCCAGAGGACAGTTTATGCTGCCCAAAGCAGGAGATGCTTTCCCCTGTTGCTGCATGCCTAATGTGAGCACTGACACTTCCATGATAGTGTTACATAAAATCCAGAGTATTTCACTTATTTTTCAGTGTCAACTGTTATAGTCAGCAACCGCTTACTTTGTGTTTCCAGCGAGGATGTATCGTAACTGTTGTAAACGTGTGTTTCTAGATTTTGTCGTTCACCAGATTTTGCCCTACCAGTCAGTTTCGGTGGATACATTCAACTCAAAGAATGATGTGTTCGTAGCCATTGCACAGCCCAGCATGGAGAACTGCATGGTGCTGGAGTGGGATCACATCGAAATGAATTTCAGGAGTTATGACAATATCACAGGTATATGAACACTCGGGTTCCAGTCGTTGATGAACTGTTGGCGTTTCACAAGGACAAGATTCATAAATGGGACCAGTTGATGGGTTTTGTCCCGGATCTCTCTTGATTTTGGCAGATCAAAGTGTGTAATGTTTGGACATGAGTGACTTTATGAGTAGTGCTTCTTGTTAGTACCTGTGCATTTAACCTCGCTGTAGCACACAAACTAGGCTTTTTTTGTCTGATCTTGCAAATTGTTCTGAAGGTACAAAGACGTGCTGGAAATGTCATGTCATGGCCCAGCTTAGCACTCACTGCCTGAGTCATGCTGTAACATAAAGTGGAAGTCAAAGGAGCCTTGACTCTTACCAAAGTGCTTGCGAAATGGAATATAAAAATACTGTCTTGTATGTAGAAGGAAATAGGTCTGAAGGATGCTTCCAGGCTGGGCTGGCCAGGGAAGTGTGTTTCACAGCTGCAGGTGACACATTATTATTTAAACCATGGTTGTTACCTAAAGAGATGTGCTGTAAAGCTTTCATGTTTACTTTCCATTTGCAAACATGCTGAGTTAGCATCGTGGGCAGATTACTCATCAAACAAAAAGCCCATGTGGGTGCCGGGTGATTTTCTGCTGCTAACTGTCCTCTCCTTAACCAACACCTGTGGTGCTCAGTCACAACGTGACAGCAGGGACGGAGTCTTTAGAGCTCTTACCTGATACCCAGCTTCCCACCTACTTCACATTACTGGTTCTGAAAACTCAGGAGCTAAATTTATCCATGGAGCATCTTTCCCTCTTGTTCCTTGTTATGTGTGCTAGATTATTTTTTACCTTGCGTTTTGGGAAGCAAAGAGCATGCTGTGTCCTCAACGGGTGTTGAAGTCTACAAAAGCAGCAAGCACCTACCTCCTCAGATCAGTTGTGTGTGTCACTGATAGAAGGTTATAAGATGCTACCCCTCTGTCAGGAAATTTTGGAAATTAAAAAGTTTGAGGTTTTAGGTTTTATTCCGTTTTGGTAGATTAGACGGAAATACATACCAGTGAATGTAAATAGAGAAGTCAGTGGTTGAAAGAGTGCTAGCAGAGCTCTAGAAAAGCTCTGGAAATGAAGTTGAGAGTTTGGGTCAGTTCCAAGGACAGCTGTCTTCTGGATGTGAATGACAGGGGAATGTCTTAGCTCCATACACAGCAAGTGCCCAAACTTGTTTCTTAAAGAACCATCTTGTGTTCCTGGAAAGCCTGAGCTTGGGCTTTGGACTCTGGAATGGAAGTGAGTGAGTCACTTTTGCCAGGGCACACAGGCACATAAAGACCCTCTTGCAGAGTGTTTTGTAGAGCTTGGGAGCCAGCTATGTGGTCCATGGGGAGTTTGATTGCTTGTATTCTTGGTATTTAGACATCTGAATTTAGCCCTTTTCAACGTGGGCTTTTGAAGCTGAACTGATTATTGAGATTGCCTTTAGAGTTACAGAATCACAGAATGTCAGGGGTTGGAAGGGACCTCAAAAGAGCATCTAGTCCAAACCCCCTGCAAAGCAGGATCATGTGCAGTAGATCGCACAGAGGCGTGTCCAGTCTCCAGAGAGGGAGACTCCACAACCTCTCTGGGCAGCCTGTGCCAGTGCTCTGTCACCCTCACAGTCAGAAAGTTTTTCCTGATATTTTTGTGGAACCTCCTATGTTCCAGCTTGTACCCATTGCCCCTTGTCCTGTCATTGGACATCACTGAAAAGAGCCTGGCTCCGTCCTCCTGACACTCCCCCTTGACATATTTATAAACATTGATGAAGTCACCCCTCAGCCTCCTCTTCTCCAGGCTAAAGAGACCCAGCTTCAGCCTCTCCTCATAAGGGAGATGTTCCACTCGCTTCATCGTCTTTGTGGCTCTGTGCTGGACTCTCTCAAGCAGTTCCCTGTCTCTGTTGAGCTGAGGGGCCCAGAACTGGACACAATATTCCAGATGTGGCCTCACCAGGGCAGAGTAGAGGGACAGGAGCACCTCTCTTGATCTACTAGCCACCCCCCTTCTAACACACCCCATTGGATGTGTTAGGATGCCATTGGCCTTCTTGGCCATGAGAGCACACTGCTGGCTCATGGTCATCCTGCTGCCCACCAGGACCCCCAGGTTCCTTTCCCCTGCGCTGCTCTCCAGCAGGTCAGTCCCCAACCTATACTGGTACATGGGGTTGTTCTTTCCCAGATGCAAGACTCTACACTTGCCCTTGTTCTATTTCCTAAAATTTCTCCCTGCCCAACTCTCCAGCCTGTCTAGGTTTCTGAATGGCAGCACAGCCTTCTGGTGTGTCAGCCACTCCTCCCTGTTTTGTGTAATCAAAAACTCATCGTGTCGACATGCAGAGAACAGGTGTTGCTGTCCTCTGCAAAAGAAGACAGCTACAGGGCAGGTGAAATCTGTTCTAGAGTGCTTTTTCACTAAGTTAGACCAGAAAAAGCCTGAACAATCAGCTTGAGCATTCATGTCTATGCTGCAGATGCCTTATGGTACTTAAGATGAATCCCACCCCTCTCACACTGGCTGGGTCTGAGATCATCCCAGGCCAGCTGGGAAACACCTTTGTGGAGGGGACCAGCAGATGTGCCCAGGCACTGCAGTCTACTGTAGTGACTGTGACCAAGCATGCGCAGAGGAATCTGTGTAGTTACAATTCTACTTAAACTGTGGGATTCAGAGAGGAAATACTCTTTTCTTCCAACGAAACCTTTCATAAAAAGTCTGGTTGTTACTTTTTTGATGTGGTTGTTGTATGGTGACTTGACATTCTCAAAATGGTCCATAACCTGATCTGATCTAATCTGGTAGTTGCAATATTCCTAAATATTTCTCATTTAATGTAATCTCAAGAATACTTAACAGAAACAACAGATTAATCTTTTTCATCCTGCTGTCAGGTGATGTATCCACAAGATATATCAATATTTCTATTTACAGTAGCAAAAAGCTGTCTCTGGCCCTCTTGGAGCAAGAAAAATAGACTGTATTTCATTCTTCTGCTTAAGCTGGAAAGATAGACATTCCAAGAATAGGAGAATTTCAGATGCCTGCTGAGTTATAACAACTCTTGATATTTTTAGTACTAAAATTTGGCTTAAATAATCATTTTGGATATTAGGAGGCATGTGTTTGAACAAACAGAGAAAGAAAAAGTATTCTGGATAAAAAAGAATGAGTGTTTCAGGGTGCGTTATACTTGCATACCTTGAGGAGTGTAACATTTCCAACATTTGAAGTCATCTGACCAGTTACCAGGCAGAAAAAAGCACAAAAAGAAGCTGTGGCAATGTGTAGCAGAAGACAAAGTTATGAAGTTATGAGATGGTGCAGATTTAAAAAAGGGGAGGGGTGATTTGGTAATCTCTCTGTGTTTTACATGGTGCTTTGTTCTGTGCTAATGTATGTGCTCTTTTTTTTTTTCCTTTGGGCAATAGGTCAGTCCATAGTGGGATGTAAAGCCATTCTTGTTGGTGACCAAGTCTTTGTGGTGGTGGCACAGCTCTTTGGTGGCTCACACATTTACAAGTATGATGAAAGCTGGACAAAGTTTGTCAAATTCCAGGATATAGAAGTATCTCGCATTTCCAAGCCAAATGATATAGAGCTTTTTGAGATAGACAGTGAAATGTTCTTTGTCATAGCAGATAGCTCTAAAGCAGGTTTGTCAACAGTGTACAAGTGGAATAACAAAGGATTTTATTCCTACCAGTCCCTTCATGAGTGGTTCAGAGACACCGATGCTGAGTTTCTCGATATAGATGGGAAATCACATTTAATCCTCTCCAGCCGTTCCCAGGTTCCCATTATACTCCAGTGGAACAAAGTTTCCAAAAAGTTTGTCCCGCACGGTGAAATCCCCAACATGGAAGATGTCTTGGCTGTGAAGAGTTTCAGGATGCAAGATAACCTCTACATCACGCTCACGAGATTCATTGGTGACTCCAGAGTTATGAAATGGAACAGCAAACAGTTTGTGGAGATACAGGCTCTTCCGTCCCGAGGAGCCATGACACTGCAGCCTTTCTCCTTCAAGAACAATCACTACCTAGCCTTGGGAAGTGACTATACCTTCTCCCAGATTTACCAGTGGGATGGTGAAAAGAAGATCTTCAGATTATTTAAAGAAATCTATGTGCAGGCACCACGGTCTTTCACAGCTGTGTCCACGGACCGAAGAGATTTTTTCTTTGCCTCTAGTTTTAAAGGAAACACTCAAATATTTGAACATATCACCATTGACTTGAGTTTATGAAAAGCTGCTGGAGTGAAATTCACGTAGAATGACATTTATACAGAAACAAAACAAAAAGACCTTTCCAAAAACAGGGTGCACCTATGGAGTATGATGACATTTTCTGAACTTTTCAAACTTGCATATTAATCAGGGATTGCATTTACTTGGTTACTGCATGACATGTCTGTTTGATCCTTTTTCAAAGATGCTTTGCCATCTGCAGTCATTCAGAGGAGCAAGAGTGGAGTGCATTAGGATTAATGCTGGTATCTAAGAGAATGATCTAAATTTTACCCAGAAAATTAGCTTGAAGTGAACATCTCAAGAAGGGAAGAGTAAGCCATACAAAGCATAGAAGTTATCTTGACTGTTAAACTAGTATGTTAGTAATGATTTTAAGACTAGAGCCAGTTCTTCATGGTTGTTAATGAATTGTAAAAAAGAATACACTTTATTTTGGTTTCTTGAGGTCTGTCTTCAAAATCCGTCTTTGGTTTATAGTAAGTCAGAGGCATCATTTTCATTCATTGTAGATTAAAGAGGAAGTAAAAATTGATTGACATTTTCCTTCCATTTTTCACCATTTCAGCAATAAATTGTGTATGATAATTAGCCCAGCCCATAGTAACTGGTAGCCAGGAAAGGAAGAGTATGTCACTTCTGGACTGTGAGATCCTAACAAGTTAACACAGGCAGAAAATAACAGAGGACTCCGTGGTGCCAGGAATGAATCAAGTACAGATTCCATCCACTTTTAATAGGTATTGCAGAACCACGACCCCATTTTGCCCTAATTCATACTTTTCCTGATGATCCTAGTAGATTCTGGGGCATTTCAACGGGTAAAGCTGTCGTGACCTCTCATTGTAGAAGGCACAGCTTAAGCTTAGCCTGAAACACACACCTGCGTTCATGCTGCAGCTCAGCGGTACAGACATGTATGCAATGAGATGATTTATTCTCCCTCCAGGATTGCTCACAAGCAATAAATTCAGGTTCGAGTCATCACAAGCCGTATTTGGGGAACCCTTCTCCTGGCTGATGTCTCAATATGACTTCGGCATCACCGAGTCTTTTGAAAGCAAAGCAGGTGGAGCTGGGTCAGGCTAGAGCTAACCCTGCCTCCGAGAAGAATTTCCTCTTGGGGGCTCCAGGCTTTACCAGGTTGCCAGTCCACTAAAGGTTGAACAGGCGGATGTGAGCAGATGGTGCCACATTGATGTTTTGGGTGGCTATAGATGAAGGCATTCAGTCACCCGAAATAGGGCAGGCCTGGCACACAGAATCTCTGTCAATGTAACACCAAAGGACCATTTTCCTGGACAGGATCTCTGCCGTCCTTACCCAAGAAAACTGTGTATCAGAGCCCTTGTTTGTTCACTTTCACAACACTCTTCATACCACTTAGCACACTAGGTTGTTTTATCATGTCTTGCTGCTGCACTGCTGCCTTGGGTAATAGGGAGGCTTTGCATAAAGCAGGTGGAGCAAAAGAAAACATCGTTTATTTCTTCATACTCAGGGCTAACTCACCACCTCTGTGCTGAGTGAGCTTCACAGTTTTGCTCTGAACATGTGAAACTAGGCTGTTATCACAAACAGAGATGTTGTCACGGGCTTTCCAACATGTGACATGTGAACAGTGCTGCAGAAGAGGATTATGCACAAGGACTTGTGTGAGGAGTCCTAACCTACCAGTGACCTGGCATATCACAGTCTTCCCCAGCTTCTGTCGTGCTGTCAGAGACATAACCCATTTTATTCTGTCTTTAAATTACATGTTAGATTTTGGGGTTTGTTTTTGCTTTTGTTTTGTTTTTGGTTTGGGGGGGGCTTATGGGATTTTTTTGTTTGTTTTTGTGGTTTTTGTTTTGGTTTTACTTTCAGAGGTTCTCACCTTGGTTTTACTTCTAATGACATTGGCAACTTAGCTTATCCAGCCATCTGAAGTGTTGAGCGTTGCCCTGTGGATCCCAATGTGGTGTCAGTCCTTGTGGCTCAGTCAGACAAGTAGATGCAAACCAATCCTCTGCAGTGGGCTTTAGCAATACATCTCCTAGGATTAATTTAATAAACCTAAAGAGATGATTCATGTGTCTGCCTGTGAATGCACTTTCTTACCTATGTTCTCAGTTTACTTTTTAAAGTGGGCATGGCTGGCAAGCACTGTTTCTTTAACCTGTGTTGTGGGAAGTCATCTTTTACTGGTTTTTGGTCGAGTGTGCATGTTTAAGTAGTCAGATACTCTGATGAGGAGGGACATTGCTCATTATGCCAGCACTTTCGTTTAGGGCTCATGGCTAGTACTGTTCACTCAGCAAGCGGCATCAGTCAGAGCTAAAAGCTGGTTTAGAGAAATTGGATCTTGGCATTTTTTACTTGAAGGAAAGCAAGAGGATGGTGGAAAAAGGGCTTGTGTATCGAATACCAGGAGACTGTACTGTTCGGAGAGCCAAGGGGATTTGGAGTCTGTGCTATCAGGCTGAATTAAATTAAAATGGTCTCTGCGGAGACAGGCTTAGTAAAAAGGATGAAGTGATCCACAGGAGTCTAGCTCATTCACATGGGACCAGAAGAAGGAAGTGAGGGAAATGAATTCTGCGGGCAGGCTGATGCTTCTGCTGAGGAGCTGTATGTGTTGGTCAGGCAGCCAGATGAGCATCCCTCCCGGCTTCAAGAGGAGCCTGGAGTCAGACACTGGCCTGCCTCTTCGGCTGAGTTAGTGCACGGGGCTGAAGCAGCTAAAAGGGAGGGCAAAAAGCACCAGTTAATAAGGGAAAAGTTATGGTACCTTTCACAGAATTAAAGGCAGGGTCTCAAAAAGAGCCTTCTCTGCTCTTCCTGCTCCCAAGGAAAAGCTGTTAAATGCAGCCATAACAACAGCACTGAGCATCAAAAATACTTTCTGCCTTTCCAAATGCAACAAGTGTTGTCTCCGTGGCCTATATTCTGTAATAGAAATTAGTTTGAATAGTACATAAACTATGCATATCCATAATGTATTGCAACTCTTAGGCCATCAGGACAGTGGGAAAGGACAACAGAACATGCCAACTGGTAATTTTTAATGTATTCTAAAATACATTTACATCTATGTAAAGGACAGTAGTTTATATAAGCATAGATTTAATACAATGTGCTAGCTACAGTGGGAGCATTTTAAGGCTGTATATATATTGGGCTTTTTTTAGTAAAGAGGAGCTGATGCAGTCTATGCTACTGATACATGTATGTACTCTTTCAATGTATGAATAAAATGCATTTAATGAGACTAAGAGTGGTACTTTGTGCGTGTTAAAATATCGATGCTGTGCAGATCCACACTACCAGAGGGGGATGGACAAGGTGGGCAAACGGGTCCTTATCCATTTATGATCAGTTTTGGCTTTTGAAAACGTGGAGGAAGCTGTGCTCAGATTAGTTAAATTCTATTTCTGTGCCCGAGGTATGGCCCAGGTTTTGCTGTTCCCTGGCTTTCCCCCTCACTACTTACACCCCATCTAGTGTTAGCAAGTACGTAGTGCAGCTATTGCCACGATTTTCGGTTCACGTTAAACTCTGTTGCTTCCTTCCTTTCTTACCACAAAACCAAGAGATCTTAATTATCAAGATAATTTCCAAAAGATACTTAAGATACTTAAACGAGTTTCTTATGTGCAGAGTGGATAGGAAACAAACCCTAAAATTAATTCCTAGATTTTCAGATCTTCACTGTGGGCTCTCTTAAGATCTGTCAAATGTTACTGAATCATTGGCATGTACTCTGAAATTATAAAAAATGAATATAAGTATATCAAAAGCGAATACATTTTATTTAAAGCAAGCCTTGAGCATTATCCACTGGTTCTGCTAGTCACTAAGGTATGCAATAATTCTTTTTGTTTTCTCTTCTTCCTTCAGAAACAGCACAATTCTCTGTAACTAATTATAGGCTTGTGCAATCAAAGACATGTCTGACATGCCGTAATGGGATGCAATTGCTCCGGGATCATTGCTTTCCTGTTGGGTATTCCACCTTTTTATGAGTCAGCAGCCCTTGTGGTGTGGTTCACTGAAACTCTATCATAGCTCAAACATCAGCTTCACATCAGCACCATTTCCCCACCTGCCCTCCCCCGGTTTCTTTGCCCTTGCTAGGTGAATATTTCTTTTTCACCCATTACCACCTTCTCCAGATCTTCCTCAGGAGTTTCTGTCCCTCCTTGAAAGTCACAGCAGGATACCAAGAGAAAAACATTCACAAAGAGCAATGTGGGGATGGTGACTCCTCTGCAAATCTCAAGGGGAAGACAGAGCACAGTCTTTCTGAGAGGTCAAGCTGCAGGCAGATGTGTAAGAAACAGCTGTAGGAGTCCCACTCATCCCCTCTAAGTCCCATTCAGTCCTGGTCTACAGACCTGAGCTCCTACCACCACTCCCTCTTGGCAGCAGTGCTCACATCCAGCAGTTACTGGGACTTGTTTTTCACACCGTAACCCAGAAGAAACAGAGCTGGGCTGCTAACATGGTTTTTTTTCCTCGTATCTGGAAACTAGCCCTTTAACCTCTCTCACATTCCCCATACAGTCCAGCCTCCTTTTTGAGAAACTGCAGGCTGGACGAGCTAACAGACTTCAAAACTGACCTTCAAAATTCGAGAAAATCAGCTGGCAACATGGTGTTAGTTCCTCCCCAAAATAAGAGACTGATACTCTGAAGGCATTAATCCACTCCCCAGTACCATTTTCCTCGTAAGCCATCGCTACTCTTGCTACCGAGCTGCACGATGATTTGCAGAGGTGTTTTGCAAAGTCTGGAATGGGAGGAAAGTTGCTGGAAGATGAGGTCCATGTTAGGAAGCCCTAGCAAATTCTATTATTTTTAGGTCTGAGTGGATGTTTTGGAGCCATCCACATACATGGTGGGTAGCTGCATATGTTGCAAGTTCGACATGATTCCTTACAAAGCCATACAGCAAAATCAAAGTCAAACTGAACCTAATGTCACAGTTTCAGATAAAGAAAATGTTGAAGGGAAGCATCTAGAGTTGCACACTACCACCCTGCAACGATTCACAGAGGGGTGTGATGTATTTTGACAGACAGGCAAGGGAGATATATTTTTTACAATCTGTGGGTTGGACTGAAAGAGATGATATGGGTCTCCATAGAATTATAGAACAGTTTAGTTTGGAAGGAACTTTTAAAAGTCATCTAGTCCAACCACTCCTGCAATGAACAGGGGCCTCTTCAACTAGATCAGGTTGCCCAGAGTCCCATCCACCGTGACCTTGAACATTTCTAGGGGTTGGGGCCTCTACCACCTCTCTGGGCAAACTGGTCCAGTGGTTCACCACTTGCA